TTCAGTTCTCTCTTTTTTTTCCTGTGATCTTTCTTTCCTGTTCTACAAAACTAGCGTTCCACAGCATACACTTTGATGTGACAACATAGACATGAGAAAACTGAAGAATCTGCTGAGTAACAAGTTGGATCCAGATCTATTTGAATCTAAAACCTAGGCTCTTTCCACATTCCATACACATATATACAAACGCAACACCGGTATCATTAATCTTTTGGATGGTTAGACTTACTGATCTTGAGTTTGCTTTTCCATTTTAAGTGTTACTTTCCCAGAGAACAAAGTTTTAAGCGCTTGCTCTTGCAGATTCATATATACCAGGCAAAGTTAAGTAGAACTAAATTTTTTTAAGACAATTTGGAATAAAAAGTATCAGACACGCAATGGCCTCGTCTTTGAAAAATTACAAGAAAGATGGCTTTTCTTTTCTGGTTGCCAGAGTTGATTGTGGAAGAAGTTTGGGAGATGTTTTCTTTCTTTCTTTCTTTCTTTTTTTTTTAAGATTGGCACCTGGGCTAACAACTGTTGCCAATCCAATCTTTTTTTTTTTTTCTGCTTTGTCTCCCCAAACCCCGCCGTACACAGTTGTATATCTTAGTTGCAGGTCCTTCTAGTTGTGGAGATGTTTTCTTTCTAATTCACACTGTCTGGTACCTTTGTCTCCATTTGTAGGATGGCAAATTATTGCACAAGTACTCATATGTCCCTCCTGGGCCAAATTCTAGCTTCTGATTATTCAAAGCTGTGTGTCTTGAACTGTAGGTCTAATCTGGACAATGAATATTATTATTGTTATTATTATTATACATTGATATGAATCGTTGGGCCCTAAGAATTGTCAGAGGGGACTTTTGGACCAAGGAAGAGACCTGGTTCCCTCTGGCAGCCTTACAATCTAAATTAGACTGAGTTGTATAACAGTTTTAGGCATCTGATATGGGACTTGCCAAATTTCATGGCTTCAGGCACACGGAATGCACATCCCTGTTCCAGGGAGGCTAAATATTTTTCCAAATCAGTAGATAAAACAAACTCCCTGACCTCAACTTACTTCCTGGCGCCTGGAGTCCTGAGTAGCTGATGAAGAGTGTCTGTCTGCTATCAAGTGACAGGACACATTCAGACTGGCTCCTGTGCTCAGGACCATGTGGTACCTGATCCTGTCTCCATCTTCAGAGCTAAGATTTTGGCCACAACTTAAAGATCTAAGTCCAGAGGGCAGTGGGCCAGGGTTAGATACCATTAAATGCCATTGAATCAGCCTTGAAGGGCAAGTGTGGCTTCTTAGGGCATGAGGCAATGTGGTGCAGCTGGAGGCCAGTGAAAGCCGGTGATCACAGACCCCAGGCAAATCACGTCTTGAATGTCATGTCTGAAATGGAGAGGTGGCTACATCTCTGTCTTGAGTAAACACTATGCACAGATTTTAGACCTTATAGAGCCAACCAAGTAGAGAGTAAATCCATCAAAGGGAACGTGAAGTTTCTGACCTAAGGGCTTCTTTGGATGGACACCTTAACTAATCGACAGTGACATCTACTGACTGTGTTAGACACTGCCACCTTACAGATAAAATAACAATCAGCTAAGCTTTGAAGACTCAAAGGAATGTTAAATGAGTGGGGGAAATTCCCATAGATGGGAGAGGGAGAGATTAATAGCAAAAGGAAGATCACAGAGATTGAAAAGCATTATTGAGTGTTATGGACAATAAAAATGGATTTCATAATGTCACAAAGTCCTCTGAGTCTTTTCCGGGATAGGTATTCTGAATCTACTGGGTACTGTGTTAGAGCCTTTCTATATTCTTCAGCTCATTCCGATGGCATTTACCTTGAGGTCTTCTCTTTCCAGTCAATTCCATTTGCCTTTTAGACTCTTCTGTATTTGCACTGATGTACGTATGCATGCTTTTATCCCCACTTTCTCTTGTTCCTGCCGCATCCTCCTGGGAATAAGCCATATTTGATCAAGAAGCCTGGGTTCCTACCTCTTCTTCTTATTGAGTCATCTAAATAGCTTTCCTTCTGACATCTCCTTCTGAACCCGGGGAGCCATGCAGCTGCATTCTCCCTTCACATCCTACTTCGTATAGCTGTGAATCAGCCAGCGGCTCAGGTCCTAAAAGACACACAACCCCACTTTGTCCCAAACTGCTCTAAACCTCGCAGCCACCCTTCTCCCCACCCAGGCCACCAAGCTGGCTATGCTACTGAAGTGGGCTCCTTGAGGGAACCGTTTACCCCTCATGGGTCCTGATTGCAAACCCTCAGAAGGCAAGGAGGGCATCACTTTCCCCTTCTCCAACCCTCAAGAACTGCCTGGTGTACTGCTATGCATACAGGTGGCCCTTAATAAATGCTTGCTGTATCAGTGAATGACTGAGAGGCTTGTTTTAATTCAAGGACATCAGTAGATTGAAAAGGTTTTTCTCATAGCCATGGCCTTGACCAAATATTCAAAATTGGAATCACAGAAATTAAACATTTTCAAGGGAAAAATTAAATCTGTCTTCCTGGCCTTTTCTCTCATTGTCTGTTTTAAAATAAAATCCTTTTGAATATTTGTCTCAACTAAGATCAGAACACCAGTGCTCTAATTTTCTGTAATTTTCTCTTTAAGGAAGAGGGGTTAAGTTCTTCAAGGGAATGCTCAAAGAATCCTGTACACTGAGAGTCAGCAGCTGAATGTGGAATTGGCATCATCTCCCATATCTCACACGGGGGACGTGCTCTGAAGAGCGATGGCAGAAGGCTGAGAATTACAGGTTAAACTGATTTAGGAAAACAAATGAAACCTTGGTTTTTGCTGCTAAAATTCTCCTTTGCTAGACTAAAACATTTTCTATCAACTTTTTATTTGGTAGATAAAACGCACATATGAAAAACAGTACTTTTTTAATATCGTCTTAAAGATTAGATGCTCATAGGTGTAAATATAGCTTTCAGTCCTTTCATCGTTGCTGTGCAACTATGGGGAAGCCTAGAGGGATTTCAGGATGGGTTTTCATTTTGTCTGAGTTTGGTTAGTAACTGTGAAAAAGTAACTCTGCAAGCAAGATCTGATATAATTACGTGGTCTGAACCCTTTTGACATCTTTAGTGGGGGCACTGGATTTCTGTCATTTGGAAGGAAGGATGATGCAAGAGTGAACAGAGGGAATAAAGAAGAGATCATCTAGGACCCAGATAGAAATAAGACGTGTAAGCAATTTTTCCCACAAAGAGTGCCTAGCACATGTTGGTGCTTAATCTGGAGCGCTGGGAAGATAAAGATGACTTACCCATGGATACAAAGGGGTGACAACTCCCAGCAAACGGCCATCCTGTTACAAAATGTTGAGGGCATTCCTTTGGTTATCATGTTGGTTATCTTGTTGGGGTTCTGCCTCCATGATTTCCTCTACAGATTGGTGGTGACTGCTCGGGTAACCAGCTAGGGGGAAAATGGGAAATAGGAATTCTCTCTTGGGACAGAACTTGGAAGGTTTAGGCATCTTTCATACCCCAGGAAGTAGGGAGCAAGGTAGCTCCTCCAGTGGACCACAAATGAGGAAGATTTAGCCAAAGGATCATTGTGCTTCCTATTGCAGTCAGCACTTCTCAACCTTTTGTCACTTCCTAGCTCTTAGAAAAGCTTCTCTTAGATGATGTAACCTTGGCTTGGCTGTGCTATTGGGCAGGAGTGGAAGAGTCATGCTTCCTATTTAGGCCAGTTTTGTTAAAAAGAAAGTGCTACTCCCCACTCCCACACCTATCCCACCAAGGATGGAGGTGATGGCAGGGATATACAGGAGAGATCTCCCACAGGACAGTAGAACATGGGGGACAGACAATAAGAATGTAGGATCCAGCTGCTTCTCCTCTCCAGGAAATTCTCTTTCCAGTGTTAACCTGGAAGGATCTAATTATTGTTTTTTGACAAATTTGGGGGACAATTAGCTACAGGCTCTACTATTTCCTAGATGAAATTATCTGATAGGTAAAATAGAAGAAGTTGTTATGGCTTGAATTGTGTCCCCCACCGAATTCATCTGTTGAAGCCCTAACCACCAATGTGACTGTATTTGGAGACAGAACCTTTAAAGAGGTGATTTAAGTTAAATGAGGTTATAAGGATGGGGCCCTAATCTTATAGGACGGGTGTCCTTATAAGAAGAAGAAGAGACACCAAAGGTCTCTCTCTCCTTCAGCACACAGGGAAGAGGCCATCTGAAGACACAAGCAGAAGGAGGCCCTCTACAAGCCAGGAAGAGAGCCCTCGCCAGAAATCAACCTGATGGCACCTTGATCTTTGACTTCCAGCCTCCAGAACTCTGAGAAAATAAATTTCTGTTGTTTGAACCACCTGGTCTGTGGTATTTCATTATGGCAGCCCATGCAGAGTAATACAGAAGGCCAGGCCCCTAGATCCTGGAAAAGTCTTGCTCTTTGCTGAGGTGCCTGTTAAAATTTAACGTATTTATGAGCTAATGCAAGTTCTCCAAGGGCTGACCCCCCTGGGGAAAGACACATCTCAACAAACCCGCTGATGGTTTGAACAAAATGCAGTATATGTTCCAAAGCTCCAAGGGGAAAGGGACTCCGTGATCAAAAGAGGATAGCATCTCTGTGGTTCAGCAACATTTCCTTTCCAGAAAACATCCCCATTCTGAGAGAATTTAATTCTTGTATCTGTAAACACCTTGGAGGTATTTTACCGTACTACTCAGTAAGCTATGTATTCCTGTTTTCATCCTGTAGTGACTTTCAAATGCTTAGCATGTTGTCTAGAACACACTAGGCCCTTGAATATTATTTGTCAACTTCAACTGAACTTCAGAAGAAAATACCAATGACTGCGTCTCTGAATTTCACTCCTCCTGAGAGTAAGAATGAGAGTGTTGAATTTATCCCTATATCCCAACCCTAGGGCACTTAAGAAAGGGTACGCAATAGTCAGTCAATAAATGTTGGCTTACATGGTGAAATTTAATAAAACAAACACCCAGCCATTTGAAATATTTGCTGAAAACTGCCAATTCTATTTTCATTTGGATGAAATTTGCTCGTTTGCCTCAGTTTGACTCAGGTTTCTCAATCTGTTTTTTTTTTTTTTTTGTAACATTCTTGGCATCACGTCAGAAAAATATTATAAAACAGCAGTCTTGAGACAATCAGCAGAACATCTGAGTCATAAATAAGACATAGCCCAGGAATTTGAAATACAAATAAACTATTTTTTCTTCAAGTATCTGAACCAAAAATACACAGTAAATACAATCTAGTAATACAGATGGTTAAAGAAACTTGAACTTTAAGATATAGCAATTTTTTTTGCAGTATTGAATTAGTAAAACAGGTATTTCTAAATGATGTTCTTTACTTTTGATAATTTGAAAGCTGTCTCTAATCCTTATAAGTCAGAACAATGGATTGACTTGGATATGCAATAACTTTCATCACAGAACAGCAGAATGATTATTCATTAAGATAATTGATGTTTCTATAAACTGAAGTATTTTCCCCTCATCCATTCCTGTTGTTGAAATGTTTGTATTGTTGAAATGTCTTACCATGCTATGATTTTGGAGTTGTACATTGAAGACTTGGGAGTCAACTAACAACTGTCTGCACTGGGGCATGGAAACACCATTCCTCTCCCTTGCCTGTGGATGAAATGTTGACAAGTAACACTTCGGATCGTTGGGGAAAATCATTCTCTCTATTAGGGCTCTTTCACATCTGGAGGCCAAGCCCTACCATCGTTCTCTATCAGCCTGTGCACATAGTGGGAACTTCTCTGACTTTTGACCCTTAAAAAAAAAAAGTAGCTTGGTTTTTGGGTTTTTTCTTTTACTTCTACCACAATCTCCTTTATTTAGTCTGCCTATTTCTGGAAGCTTATGCCCAAGGTCTGGCTTCCTACAGCCGACATTCCTACAAGCTCCTCTCTCCACAAAGAAGCTGTTTCAGGTGCAATACTTTGGTTCATCTGCAGGATTTGAAATTTCATGGTTCGTGGACTATATCAAGGCTCCAATGTGGTTAGATTGTTGTGGGGTTTTTGGTTTTTGTTGTTTTTTAGCCTTTATATTGTTGTTTTTAAAAATCCATTATCAATGCAACAGAAAAAGAGTAAAGATCTGGTACCTGTGGGCTTGCATTTCCAAATGGCAGCAACTGGCTAAATCTGAGTAACAGCTGCTGTTCGGACACGGATATACTCTCCAGTGTGACCCCGTCCCCACCATTCCCATAGAACATCTTTATCTGTCTGGCTCCTAAAGGCCTTTGAGTCTATGACCTCTTATCTGCCTCAAGATGTTGATTATTGGATAAAACGAGCACAGTAATGTCCGTCCTACATTCACAGGGGTGTAATCTATACCTGTGCTGTCCAAAATGGTAGCCACTGGCCACAGGTAGCTACTTGAGCGCTTGAAATGTGGCTAAAGTGACCACAAAACAGATTTTTTGATATTTACTTAATTTTTAGTAATTCTTTAAAATTAAAACATAAAGTTCTATTGGCCAGTGGTGGTCTAGACCAAGAGAGGTTATAGGATTGAAAGATTTTGTTGCCCACATGCAAATGTTTGTCTGTTATTGTCCTTGGATAAGAACAGGCATCTTCATTTTAGGTGCTCTTTCATGAACACCTCTTTACCACAAGTATGTCACATCTTCTGAACAGAGACGTTGATCAAGCCCAAGGACACAAAGTCCCCAAGCTCTGTCCTCTCTGTCCTACTTCCAAGGAGCAGTATGCAGAAAACCACTAGGATGCCATTTACATGCTGAAATTTAAGAGAAGACAAAAGTGACCAACCTTCAAAGCCTTCCTTTACCTACTTGTCACCTTGCTTTCAAATCACTTAGACTCTGGAGGACATCTGTCAGAAAACCTAGAGGGTAACTGGGGACATAATACACTGGCCCTCTCTCACTTGCTGAGCTAAGCTACACTAATATGTATGTTATAGACCAGCTTAGAATATAAGAAAAACCCTTGAGAGAAAGGGACAAAAGACATTTCTATGCTGTGGGAGTGGGTTGACCCTGGGGCTTTTCCTAAGAGAGTCCAGGGCCTAATTAGACACGAGTGGAAGGCAGGGACCCTCAAGGAGCAATAGCAGTAAAGAGACAGCCCCCAAGGCATAGAAGGGTGCTTAGAGAGAATAGATCAAAGGAAGAATTGCTTTTCCATCACACACTCCACCTGGACAGGCTGCTTTGGTTTCCTAGAGCTTGGCAGTGCTTGTGCTTCTATCAAAGCACTTGGAACAGAAGCTCTTTCTCTACAGCACCCTTCTGCTCCTAAAATATGACCTAAACCTTTCCTCTCAAACCCTTCTGGATGGTTATAAAACAAATTCCAAACAACAAAGACTGGAAGGACAAGCTCGTGAATACTGGTGCATATGGGAATACAGCTCGTTACACCACATAATGGACTAGTTTGATTAGCTACATGTCTTACTGTATTGTCCTTAGCTCCCAAACAGAAAAAAGCAAGAATAATCCCTTATACAGAGTTTACTATACATGCTCACATATGATAAAACATTCATTTCACTTCAGCAATACTATTACTAATATCATCCCCTTTCCACAGATGAGAAATTGAGGCTCTGAGAAGTTAAGCAACTCGATAAAGGCCCCATTGCTGTTACAGTGCAAAATTGGCGTTCTGTGTCTGATGCACATAAACAAGCCAGTTAATTGTGGCATCGGCCTTTGGGGGAGAAGTCAACTTTTATTCTGCAAGATCAATCTGCAGGGAGACAGGGGGCATGTGCCCTCAGATCTGTCTCCCCAACTGAGGATTTGGGGCAAAATTTAAGAGGTTAGGGAGAACAGGCTGGCATGCAGAAATGCTGGTGGGATAGGCTTTGATTGGTAGGCTTCAAGCATTTATGGTAAGGTTCTAAACATTTATGACAGGGTGGGGGAGGAATTTTAACATTGGATCTTCCTGAATGAGGGACCCCTCATTTCTGATAAGAGTCTAACATTCAAGTTCTGATCATGTCTGCGTCCCAGGGTTCCATGGGGAGGAAGGTCTTTAGTTCTGTGGTCATTTCAGGTCAGAACTTTTTCTTTCATGCATGCTCTGGCTACGTGACTTTGCAGTTTTTCTGAAAGACAATTCTTAATAACTTTCTTGATAAGAGATTGGGTCACTTGAACTGATCCTGGAGGCCTGTGGCTTACAAATCCCCCCTTTTTGTTCTTCATTCCTCAATCTTGAAGGACATAGGGAGATGACTGCTCCAGCTTCTTCCTACTGATAAAGGGTGTAGGTTGATCCATGTCATTAATCCACTCTCTTAGTAAGACGGTGATGCAGGTGGGCTCCCAAGTTTAGGCCTATGTTGTGTAAGCAAGTAACTAGGTATTTAATATGACACATTTCTGGAGAAACAAAAAGAAAAGCAAGGTTGATGGTTGGAGCAAATTATAGACCAGTTCCTGAGCCCAGGGAGCAGCCTGTCAAAGGATTTGTAGATGTCAGAGTTGAAGCATCTTTCACAGTTTGAAATGTGTCCAATGATGTCATACATGTTCAGGTATCTTTCTGAGTGGCTCACAAGCAACAGGCATGGATCTTTCTTAAGTTTATATTAGGTTGTCCAGTTTCAGTTTGCAAGTTTTCAGGGAAAAGGGCAGTTCAGTTCTCAATGATTCCTAATGAAAATTATGGAAAAAATTGAAAACATGCATTTGGAGATTTGTAGCCAGATATCTCAGGACACTAGAAGAATTCAGGACCCATTCCAGTTAACAGATATAAAACAAAACCTCAAAGATGATTATCAGAACTAGAACCTAATGTCCATGAATGTGTACTATAGTTTTCATTGAAAGATAATTTTTCTGTCTAAAATCACCCTTATTTTTACCAAATATATCCAATTAAGACAATAAGCTTTGCCCAATTATTTGTATAAGTACAGTAAGAATAGCAATTAATTGTATATGCTCTTTCAAACCTGCTTTGCTGGAACTTTTCATAGGGAGTCCCAGATTGAACTTTATAGGCCTCTTGAGGCCAGAAAAACCAAGCCAAGGACTTGTCATCAGACTCTTCCTTCAATACCTATAGATTTGGGTGAATTCCTCTCTTTTCTCAAGGTCCCGAAAATATTCTGAGGTTCCAGTCACCTGTCAGGGAAGTGACCTTCTTTACTCACCTAGTAAGGTTGATGGGAATCATAAAGAAGGTATCAGGCTGATATTTCCAAGTGGCTTTATTCCATAAAGACAACATCTATTCCTCAAAAACTGTCTTGTCATATCTGAATCTGGATATTTATCTCAAATATTATATTCCAGTCAAAGCTTTGGTGATATAACAATGATTCCAATTGTGTCCTGTTATAAGGAAAACAGATACTTACTTAACTTATGCAGATAACTGTATTGCCATGGAAACAATACTCACTCATCAAGAGTTTCCAAATTCTGGAGGGATCAGGCAGGGAGAAAAAAGATAAATGTGTCAATTTTTCCTCCAAATGTATAATTTAGCAAATTGCTTAAGTCATAGTTAGCTTAAGAGAAAAAGTTTCCTTAAATCTGGAAAAAAAAAACATTAAAACCTCAGCAATATCGCAAATGAAAAGTCATATAAATTATAATCATCCTCATCAGTTCATTCAGTCCTGATTCTTGTAATCGATTCTTGATCTTAATCTTCTGTTAGCAGTTTCATGAAGTCATCAGTTTCTCTGTTAGAGTTCTGTAGTTTCTTACCCAGTTCAGTTTTATGATCTGAAAGTTTATCAGACACCTGTATTTTAGAGTGTCAGAATCTTTTCCCTGAATATCTCCAAAGATAAAACGTATTTATGAAAGTAAAACAGCAACTATCTGCAAATGACAAAAGATACAAAAGAGTAATTGACAAACTTGGCTAATCCTGTGACATATAACACTTCAATATAATAACAAGAATTATCGTTGACCACCAGAACAGATCAGAATTTTAGGAATGTTGCATAATTTTTAAGACATTTATATCAATATCATTTAGCCACATAATAGTACCTAAGAAAGTTTATCCTCACTTATTTGGCAAGGCTTCCCATGTAATCTAACATACAAAATAATCCTAATTAGTTTAGTATCTTATTCTTTATAGGAAGGGAGAGAATGAATTTCTTTGAGTAGCCCCAGGGTCAACTGAAAATTCTCAAAGGAAAATTTTTTTCCTACAGGTTGAAACAAAGACTTCATTTAAAATTTGAATTTGGGGGGAAGCTTACCAAAAATATCAAAAGGTTTTTAAACACTTGGTCAAATAGGAAACAATGCTCACTGCAAAACAATGCTCAGTTATCCATTCAATCAAAGTGATAACAGAAATAGTCAAGGGCAAAGAGAGGGTTAAAACAGTCAAAAAAAACACCTAAAATTTTGGCCCCTGCAATAGTGGTTAACTCCAGTGCATTCTGCTTCAGTGGCCTGGGTTCACGGGTTCATATCCCAGGCATGAACATACACCACGTGTCAAGCCTTGCTGTGGTGGCAATCCACATGCAAAATGGAGGAAGATTGGCACATATGTTAGCTCATGGCTAATATTCCTCATGAAAAAAAAAAGACCTTAATAGGGAAACCTCAGTCCTTTTGAACACAGAAAATTATTTTAACAGACATAGATATTCTGTCCTAAAGGTAAACTTACCAAAGTTAAAGAAAAACCTTGTATAACCTCTTTATCAAGAGCAGACTAACACTCCAGGAAAATCATCCTTTTAAGAGACAGAGAAAACCAAATTTTAATTTTTGCATCAGCTTATTTTTGACATTAAAACTCATTTACTTGGGGTCAAGACAATGTATGAAGAATTTAAAGAAAATGAGAAAATGCTAAATTCTTGGGTTTGAAAGTACTGGTCTGTGAAAATGTGTCCATGTATGTGGAAGTACGTGTGTGTGTGCATACAGTATATCCCATAATTATGCCTTTGTGAAGCTTTTCTAACTTCAGAAATGTAAATGCTACTAATATAAAACACATTATTTGGAGATTTAAATATATTTTCATTGTAATTATTTTAAATAATAGCAAATGGTTAGTTTGAATTTTTGTGTCACTCGTTCTGAGTGAAAATGGCAAAGATTGATGGAAACAATAAAAACTTAAATATTCAAAATTAAATAAGTATAAAACAAAGTTCTACTTCTGGATAGATGAAAGTAGAAAACTTATTATGGGGGACGGCCTATTGGCAGACTGTTTAAGTTTGCATGCTCCAATTTAGTGGCCGAGGGTTTGCAGGTTCAGATACCAGGTGTGGACCCAGCACTGCTCATCAAGCCACACTGTGGCAGCATCCTACATAAAATAGAGGAAGATTGGCACAGATATCAGTTCATGGACAATCTTCCTCAAGCAAAAGGAGGAAGATTGGCAATGGAAGTTAGCACAGGGCCAATATCCCTTGGAAAAAGAAAAGTTATGTGGAAAATGAAGCAGAGATTTCCCCAACATATAAGAAGCTGAAGGGCATTATTCTCAACGAAATAAACCAGAGACAGAAAGACAAACACTGCATGATATCACTTACATGTGAAATCTTAAAAAAAAAAAAAAAAGGTCAAACTTATATAAACAGAAAGTAGAAAGGTGGTTGCCAGGGGTATGGGGCAGGGGAAAAGGGGAGAGGCAGGTGAAAGGGGACAAACTTTCAACTCTAATGTCAAGAACTTCTGAGGATCTAAAGTCTGATGTGGTGACTAGAGTTGACAACACTGAATTTTACAGTTGAAATCAGCTAAGAGAGAAGCACTTCGATGTTCTCACAGACACAAAGTCAATGTGAAAGGTGAAAAACTATTGGAGGTTAGGACAGAGGAGAATGAGTGTATGAATCCCTGGGAACTAGATCAAATTCCTGGGAGAACTTCAGACTTTCAAAGGCCATGAGATCGGTGGGTTCAAACCAAGAATCCAGGAGACGCAAGGAAGCGGGTGACATCTGGCTTCCAGGTGGAAGGAATAGAAAACTAGCTAAGGTCTAGAAGGCCCGGGAGGGTGGAGGGAGGCAGTTGTAGGCCAGTTGGTGGCGGAGGGGCTGTGGTCCAATCGGCTGCCCTCCTTTCGCCTCCCCCCCTCAGGAGCCCCTGTGACACGGCCACAGTTCCATGATGAGGGTGTGGGGTTCTAATCTCCAAGTCACTCCCAGTGCTCAGTTGCCTGAGAGCAGAACTGTATCTGAGATATGGAAACTCCTATCTTAGATCTAAAAAGCATTGTTGCTACCTGGTTGAGCTCCAGTTCCGCTTCCTGGGTGATTGGGACCATCCTCCGCATCCTGTATGGACTGGGGCTCTTCCTCCTCTTCTTTCCCTGCCCCAAAAGGAATCTGCCCTCACAACTAACTTACAAAAGGAGAAACGTCAGGAAGGTAAGAAATCCTGGGCCGAGACCCACAAAAAGATGAGTCTCTCTTCTTTTTTACTGTGCTTGCCACTTCTCTGAATCAACTAGAGAGACTCCAGGGATGGGAAAGAATAGAACATCATCCTTCTAGAGACAAGCCAGGTTGGGTGGGCGGGGGTGAGAGTGGGCACGAGGATTTCGATCCGAAGATCTTCGAGCAGGGATCCCGATGTGTTAGAGGGCTCCAGGGAAAGTCCCCAGGCCAGTGACCAGCGGCCATGGACGGGATGCTGAGTGGGATCTGTGGGAAGACAAGCTCTGAGCACTGGTTCCCCGGCCACCTTCCTGGGGCAGGGGTCTCAGGCGGGCCTTTTTCTCTGTCGTGGTTGACCTGAGGGCAGAGCTGAGCCCCCGAGAGCCTCTGGGCAGGACCTGGAGTGGGGCTGTAGCCTCAGGAAGCAAAGTCCTCCCTGAGGAAGCTCACAAGATTCTGTACATCTGAGAATGTGCGCGTTTCTTGAGCAGAGGAACAGTGACAGAAGATGCATGCTGGTCCCACATGGGGACCTTCTTATGATCCTCCAAGAAGGAAGACAGCAAATGTCCATTTTGTGTTCAATTATCCCCTTCAAAAGGAAGTAAACGGGAAGAAATGCCCCAGAGCCCCAGGAGTTCAGTGTAGACAGTCATCTTGCTCACAAACGCTGTGCGTCTGCAGCTGGTCCAGAGAGAGGAGAGGGAGCCTTGGCGCTCAGCCCCCTCAGTTTCTTGTTTTTTCTCTCATTTCAGCGTCAAGTGGAGCCGAGAGGGAGGAGCAGCAGGAGCAGGAAGAAAAGGGGAGCTCTGAAAGGTAAGCTCCTGCCGTTCAGCCCTGTGCCCCAGAGCTGGCCTCCACCTCCTGTCCCTGAGCTCCCAGCTCCGTGGGCTCGAGGATGCCAGGGGCAGAGCCTGTCCCTCAGGAAACAGAGCCCTCAGGGAGGCTGCCGGGAAGGAGATGAAAACCTGAGGACTTGCCAGATTCTGTACTGGGAACTAAGGCCCTGGCCAGCAGGCGTCTGGAACAGGGTGTTGCCCAGCAGGGGCATGTGGGCTGTGGTGGAGGTTGAAGTGCTTGGTCAATGACAAACCTCAACCCACCTGCAGACTTGCCATCCCCATCAAGGATCCCGTGGCCTTGGGCACTGGTACCTGGGCTCCAGAGTCTGACCTCAAACGGTCTCCCCTAAAGGCACATTGCACGCAGCCTCCTGTAAGAGCCCTGGGCCCCCGCCTTCATCGCTGTGACCCAGTGTCCTGATTTCTAGCTTACAGAGCTGGCCGGAAGGACCTGGCAGAAGTGGGGGGCCTGATGTCCCTTTCGCAAAGGTAAGGCATCTTGCCCTTCTCTCCTGGGCTTCTTCCTCGCAGTCTCTGATGTGCCCCGGGCCACAGGCAGCTTGGGGCTGAGCTGGGAGGGGAGCCATGGGGCAGGGGGTAGCAAGAGGCCTGGGGTGAGGGACAGCAGGAGAATTCGGTGAAGTGAAGGGAGGGCCAGGGAGGGCCGTGGGTCTCAAGGGGCCACCCCCACCTGGCCTGCCCTGCTGTCCCAGGGCCCTCTGCTCCTGGCTACAGCTCCTGCATCTTGTTTCCCGCAGCTCCCCGGGGAGGCTGTCTTGTAAGGGATGCTTCCATCGCTTGTCATCTCAAGACTCCCCTGGGGAGGCGTGCAAGGCAGCGTCTGCTGGAGTCCGCCAGCCATGCGGGAAGCCTGTGGAAGGTGCTCCTCTCACCACCACTCCAGCACTTTCTCTGGCCCTTCTGACCCAGCGCACTCTACCTTTGGCCTCCACTCTGGCAGCAGAACCTCCATCGGCCTTGACCAGAACTCCCCTAGGCCCTGTTGCCATGAGCTCAGCTCCAGCTCACTCCTGTTGGCCGTTTCCCAACCCAGGCCACGGCCGCATGAGTTGTCACATTGAGTTCCTCTCCCGGTGGAACACGATCAAGGTCTGGTTCTTCCCCGTGTCATCACACTTCGAGTCCCAGCAAGGGCACCTGTCCTGCCACCGACCAGTGACCTCATTCTGGGGAGGCCCCACAAACAGGGAGGGAGAGACTGATAGCCCCTCACTTGCCAACCCTGATGTCCAGAAGCTGCTCGAGACGGAAATCACGGACAGAATACAAACGGAGGTCTGGGAAAAAGAACAAGATGATCCGGGCACTCCTCAGATGCTCGAAGCACACGGTATCATGTCTG